GAATCTGCCTTTTTCTTCAAATGCGAATCTCTCGGCGAAAAATCATCGTATCGAGATGCATAAAAAAGCATTTTAAAGAGGAGACTCTGTACTTTCGTACGCTTTTGATCCCAATAAGCTACAATTTTTTGTTTATACCGTGCACCGTCGCAAACTCGAACCATTATTTTTCAATTTTGCATGCTCGCGCTTTGTCATCCGCCATTTTCAATAAATTTATTTTGCAACATTGAAATAAATTGATTCTTAAAGTAGAGATTTTTAGCTTCATTTCCATATTTTATAGAACTTTCTATCTTTATTATTTACGAAGTTATCGTCAGTTGAAATTTGATGAATTTTCCCCACATTTTCAGTGTACCGCTTTTTTTCGGGTGAGTGTATATATGACAAGAAAATTTTAATCGAGTGATAGTTTTGTTAATATATTGGGGAATATTTTTACAGACAATCGGCAATACCTCAAGGTGGTCCACCAGATCGAAAAGCTGACATAAATCCTATCACCTTAGACACTAATATTAGATTTAGCGACGTCGGGGGTTTGGAATCCCACATTCACTGCCTTAAAGAGATGGTCGTATTTCCTATGATCTATCCAGATGTTTTTGAGAGATATCACATTACCCCACCGAAAGGTGTCTTGTTCCATGGTCCACCAGGTATCTATAGCACTACAAACTCATCATTTTATGAAAATATGAAATCAAAAGTCATTTTGATATATTAATATTATATAAATTGAAAATTCACTTAGGGACTGGCAAGACACTGATAGCTAGAGCACTAGCCAATGAATGTAGCCAAGGTAGCAAGAAGATGACATTTTTCATGAGAAAGGGAGCTGATTGTCTGTCAAAGTGGGTCGGGGAATCGGAACGGCAACTGAGATTGTTGTTTGAGCAAGCTCAACAAATGAAACCGTCCATAATATTTTTTGACGAAATAGATGGTCTGGCGCCTGTCAGAAGTACTAAGCAAGATCAGATCCATGCCAGCATTGTGTCCACACTTTTAGCACTCATGGATGGCCTCAGCGATAGAGGAGAGGTAATAGAAGTGAAACGATGTTTAGGCCGGCTGTTCCGATAAGATTTTTTAAATTGCTACTTCTTTCTTTTTACTCGCAAAAGGTTATAGTTATTGGCGCAACAAATAGAATCGACGCAATTGATCCGGCTTTACGAAGACCCGGCCGTTTTGATCGCGAACTCTTTTTCCCACTACCGGCCATGAAAGAGAGATCAGAGATTCTGAAGATTCACGTCAGCAAGTGGAAAAGTCCGCCGTCCGATCAATTATTGGAGATACTGGCAGAGAAGGCAACTGGTTATTGTGGCTCGGACTTGAGAGCCTTGTGTACCGAAGCAGTGCTGCAAGGATTAAGAAGAACTTATCCACAGATTTATATGACAAATGACAGATTATTACTGGATCCGGAAAGAGTCGAAGTACGTTTCGTAATAAGAGAGAATAATGATTGGCATATAATTGAAATTTGTTGATGTGCTATTGATTATTTTAATTAACAGGTAAAAAAACGTGATTTTATGCAAGCAAGCTCCACACTTGTTCCGTCATCGCACAGAATAACTCCATGCGCAGGGAGAAAACTACAGCTTTTTATGGAACCACTATTAGGGCCTCCATTGGAAGAATTAAACAACTTAATTAAAGGAATATTTCCTCAAGGTGTAAATCCCGCTATGGCAAAGTAATTATTTTTTTACATATTATAGCAATGTTGAAATTGTTGACGAAACATATTTTTCCGAATGATTATTTCTATATTTGTCTTTTTCACAGAGTGAGAAATGCTAAAGGTATCCATCGCCCAAGACTATTGATCTCTGGTGGCAATCTATCTGAGGGTCAGGGACCCAATTTAGCTCAAGCGTTATTATATTGTATGGAACATCTGCCAGTTCAAGTGTTAGACGTCAGTACATTGTTCGCAGAAAGTGCTCGATCACCGGAAGAAACTTGCGTACAGGTTAGATCAGATTATAGCTTTCTATAACATTCCTATATGTTATAGCAAATATAACATTGTTATATAACATTTTTAAAGTTCTTCCATATCTGCTGGAAGTTTTCAAAAAGATCACTAATTTTCTAATAATTAAAAATAATATAAATAAAAGGTTAATTTTATTTTCTACTTTTAAGCTATATATGTTTGTGATTGCACATCAGAACTTTCTATTTTATTGTCTTTTAGGTAAAAAAAAGTTATTCAATGATAATTGTTGAATATTACAGGTATTTAACGAAGCTGCTAGAAATGTACCGTCCATAATTTACATTCGGTCGATCGACCAATGGTGGCCTCTCGTACCGGAGACAGTAAAAGCCGTTTTCCTCTGCCGCATCGCAGCACTGGATCCTTCATTGCCAATTTTAATTATTGCAACAAGCGATGCGACCTATCAAGATCTCCCGAATCAATTAAAAAGCTTGTTCAGTGAATTACGCGGGGAAGTGTATTCCATGAAAACTCCCACTACTGAGCAAAGAATGAAATTTTTCCGACATATTTTTATGATTCAGAGTTCAAGACAGTCACAGATCAAAAACAAAAAAGTAGAGGTTCTAGAAACACTGCCACTAGCACCAGACCCGCTGCCAAAGAAACTAACAGAAGAGGAAAAGCAAATGATGTATGAGAAGGACGAAGTGTCTCTCAGAGAATTACGTATTTTCCTGAGAGAAATCTGCGCTAAACTCGCAAGAAATCGACAGTAAGTGTCGTATGAATTAATTTCAATTTTTGTTCATACAACTGCGAAGGCGTTTAACGTAAACGCTGTTTCAGATTTTTCATGTTTACGAAGCCAGTGGACACGGAGGAAGTACCAGATTACAACTTGATAATAAAGAAACCGATGGATCTGGAAACAATGATGACCAAAATTGACATGAACTGCTATCTCTGCGCCCGTGAATTTCTCGACGACATTGATCTCATATGCAGAAACGCTCTGGAATACAACCCGGACAGGTTGGTAGTTAAATTAGAAGTGAACTTTCCAAAGATCATATGAGCGAGTCAAGGAAAACATACGACTCTTGTGCGAAAGTATCACCATTACAGAAGCAGTTATTATAACTTAAGGTTCTTCTAGCAATCTGTCTTTTTATACTGATTATATTGTGTGTTTTCATGTCAGCTTACGTGATAGGCCTTCCCTCGGAATATTAAAGAGGTAGTTGAGCTTTTTGCTGTATATCCGTAATGCTGTTATCGCTCCGTAGATAATAGTGGTTTTCAATTTAGAGCGCACCATAATCGTTAATGTTTTGCTAGACACACCATTACGACTAATTCATCACGCATCATTGAAGACCACTCCCATTAGTCATCATGCTTTCTATAAATGGAATGCTAGAGCTATGAGTCCTTTACGCGCTATTAATACATTTTACTTTTCACAGGGATCCTGCGGATAAATTGATAAGGCATCGGGCGTGTTCTTTGCGTGATAATGCTTACGCCTTAATAAAAGCTGAGCTAGATTCCGATTTCGAAGATAAATGTCGTGAAATTTCGAAGAATCGTCGAATTCTAGAGAGCAATTGTAACAATCAGGAAGAAAATAAGAATACAAAGTCAGAATCCACTCTCACAAGCGATCGAGTGGAAAAGAAGGAGTCTGTAAATTCTAGTCATTCTCTCGTTGTGAACGGGAAGAAATTCGGTTCTTCGAGGAAACGTAAAATACCCGCCTGGGCGCGAGGTTACGTGAAGAAAGTTCATAAGAAGAAAAAGATTGCTTTCGACGAGAGCGTTACGGAGATAGTAGCGCGTAAATCATTAAGCAATGAAACTACCACTAGCATTGATCTAGAAAAATTCCAAGAATTCGAAACCGAGGCAAATAGCGTTTTAAACGGGCACGTGTTCGATAATACCGATTCGGAGAACGATTCGCAGAACGAAAATTCAAAGGGAAGTCACAACAGCACGGATCAACGAATAGATAATCTCGAGCAAATGGAGATATGCTTCATGGACGAAGAAAGACCTGTTAGAAACGGGGATTCAAGTTCATCATCTCGACGCGAAAGCATGGACGAACTATCATTCGCCATCGAAAGCGATTCTAGTCGAGATAAAATCGAAGAAAACGAGAAAGTTATAGTTGATAGAACCGAGCTCGAAAATGCATGGCATTTTACCGTTGAGGCGACAAAGGACTTCCCTGTCGAGGTATTATGCGATATCTATGTGCAACTAAGCAGATGCGTTGGAAAATATGCTCACAAGTATGATAGAAAATCACTGCCAAAGGTAAATACATTTCATATCAATTAAAAAAATAGGAAATACTAATAAAAAAATCGATTCTTATCCTAATTCAGCGTTAATATAAATGTTTTATATATTGTATGTGCAGGACTTGCTCAAGGAAGTGGAAAAGTTTACGGAGTACAAGTTACAGCGTCACTAGAATACAACATGCAGGTCACTGGCAAATATACGAAAGAGTCTGACACGTGGCTGAAGGTATTATGACATATAGAAATATTATACTATCGTAATTTCTTTAGCCACACGGCACAAAGTCTTTCTTTTGTATATTTATATTAAACAAAAAATCGAATATTATCAATGTTATATCCACTTGAAACTTTGGAACGGTATATTTCTTAGTTATTGTACTGCCAGTCTTTACGTAAATAACATGTATTTTCAAAGCAATCATATTTGTTGTGTAAGATAGTAAGTAACTAATTTAGTTAAATATTGAGTTTCAGGTATATAATCATATTGGATTTTGTACATACTGTAAAAGCATGATAAATTTCCAATCAGATAATTATTGATATTTTGCATAACAAAATGGAATAATATCGTGATTTTCGATCGTATGGCTAAAGTAACAAAGACATTACGTCGCCGTTTTACTACATGCAGCCATTTACGAACTTCTTTTCTAAAAAATAAATTTTACTTGAATTTCTAAAGACATTACGTCGCCGTTTTACTACATGCAGCCATTTACGAACTTCTTTTCTAAAAAATAAATTTCACTTGAATTTCTAAAGATATAGCTAAAGCTGCAAATTTGGCAATTCATGGAATTGCTTTTATTATTGAGATTATTATTCAAATTATGTTTGGCGAGCCAAAATAAGGCAAAAGTGATAAAAATTGCTAAACATTTATGCATAATATTTCTTTAGGATAATCGTGTACTCTTGAGAGCACGTAGAAAAGAATTACATGCAGACCTTGCTGCTATAGCATAACTTTGCAAAAATTATCTTCAATTTATTTTAAGTTACATCGATGAATATTGGATTGATTATATTAAATATAACACGAAAGGGAAAACAGGAATTGGTACATTGTGTACTTAACTAATTCCGATACAGATGGAATCTGTGTTAAATGAATACGTTAATATGGCACAATAATCGTTTCCAATTTCATCATTTCAAATACTTACAAGACAAGAGTGCGGCATTTTATAATAATGCCGACGAGGGATTATTCCAAGTATTCTTGTTAGATAAAAGATTACACAGTTGCACAGTTATATGGAAGACAGGAACGTATATTTCTTTATATCTGTTAAGAATTGTGGTTTTCCTCCGTGTATCAATATACCTCGCGCTACAGAATGTATCAATTCAAATTATAATTAGCATAAGATGATATACTTGATGTAAAGCGAGTAGGTCAAAGACTATTATCTCGAGAAGAAATTCACATAAAAGAATTTGAGTTTGACGTATTAAAAGAAGCATAGAAATTATTCCATTACGTCCAGGAATAACATGCGATATTATTGCATGCAATAGTATTATTTTATTTAAAAAAAAAAAAACTGTTATTTTTTCCAAGTTGTTGAACGATCATAAACGTGATTTTTTTCTCGTGATAGTGATTCGTGGCCCATCCTATATTCGTGCAGTTTCAGTTCATACGAAATAAGATGTATCTAAAATGCGACTAATAATCTGCAATCTAAATAGACCAAAGTTGTAAAAAGTACAAGGTTTTACTCGTTGAAGATGGAAACAGGGCACTTAATATACACACATACACTATTATAAATATGAAATACCTCGATGAAACGCGTTATACAGTGGCGGCTAGTTAGTCACGTTTAGATCAGTTGTAAGACTTCAAAAATGTTTTTAAAATTGTAAATTCAGTCGCGCTCACGTTTTAGATCTTCGCAAGTGAGCTACAATAATACACATTAAAACTCTGGATAAGAATTTAAGAAATTAGGGCAAGGAAAAAAAGATAACCCTATTTCACTAAGAATTTTCCGAAAGAAATGATTGATTTGAAAATTTGAATGAATATTGAAGCGATAACGAAACGTTGACTTTCAGTCGGTCCTAAGCACTCTTGAATATCTGGCCGTCGCTCTACAAAGTATCCCAGGATTATTGCATTTTTTCCATGCTTATGATCCTATCTATTTTTGATTTATCTTATTTTTTATTTATTTATTCGTTTCTTTATTTGAATTTTCCAACTATTCGTATTTTTAGAACAGATCTGACTTTTAGATTTTATGTTTTTATGTTTCTAAAGCTGTGATCGCATCGATTTTTGTAGCAACTGCCGCATTTATTAAATTTGAAGCTGTACATCTGCGCTCGAGAAGAATTGCGACGATTCTGGGAGATTTTGTTATATGTACATGTATAAATATTAGTAAATATTTAGAGTATATAACTTGCCTTCCAGATTCGTGTATTGGTTGTGATTTGCTATAATTATAAACGATTAGTTACCAGATACAGTCGTGTGCGACGAGATGAGAACTCGTTTTCACTTCTGTTTTCGAGCAATCTAAAAGGCAGATTCTCTCCAATAACCGTCTGAACAGTACATATGATTGTCGGAAGCGACGTACAGAGTGCGACTTCACCTTTTGCCGTTCAAACCATACGAATTAGGAATTATAGGAAGTAAACTCTAAATTAATAAAACTTATGTGATTCGTGTGTAATATCTTTCTTAGGGATATATCATCGCTGTTGAGATGTGAATTTTTAGTTCAAGCGAAAGGTGTAAGTTTTGTTAGTAGCATATCCGTTTCTTGCGATGCATTCGTAGCGAAAAAATTTATATAGTTAGCGTAAGAATTCGTTTTGTTCGACAATTGAATTGTTCGTCGAAATTCGATTGTATTATGATTGTAAAATTTTTTAGTGAGTATATAGAATCGAAGACTGAGGTTTAGAAGAAAAAAAAAATGCTCGCTTTTTAGTGTTCGTATTATACGTATAAATTACATGTTGTTCTCGATTCAGTTTTCATTAGAAGAAAAAGAAAGGCAATCGCTTCAGTGTCAGTACGAATTGTCGATTCTCTTATTTGCGCGATGATAAGAACCCGCTCAGCGGGAATTACACAAGTATTCGGTATTTGCCAAAGAAGGAATGACAGATTGCTCTATCAAAACTCTCTTCTCGAATAATAACGATTATTGTGAAGCGTTTATTAAGTGTAACATGAAAAAGTTACATTGGCGATTAATAATATCGAAATCAGCCATCGAGTGGATGTAATTTTTTCTTCCAACGATTACGATTTACATTCCGCTTCGAAATAATATTCCGAAAAACAAACGGCTAATTCCACGGTTACGTTTTTTGGTGCTACTTTTGGATATACCATCATCTCACTGTTTTCGCATCGCATACGTACATACTTTGTATAATTGATGTATGCGCTGTCGGATCGAGAAATCTTGCAACACTGCCGATTACAGACGAGCGACCACAGTTTTCTCTCTCTCTTTCTCTCAATATAATGACCCTTAAGACTACTCTCTACGAAGAACGAAGTGCGTTTGAGCTTAAGCTGTAGCATATCAAGTCCGGCAATTTTTTCTACCGACGACACACATGGGTAGACGGTAGTCTTAAGAATCTCCACACACTAACAAGTTGTAAAAGGTACGGACGAAAAGCGGCGATGCATCCACTGCCTTATTTATTTTATCATATAAGTAATACATTTATTGTCATACACTATAGTGAAATAAAGTTTCGTAATGTAACTGGCTTATAACGATTTATTTGCGATTTTATTCCGTTTCCTCTGCATTTCCTTGGTTGTCTCATCGCGAAATCGTCATCTTGCTTACACGTTTGCGCGAAGGTGTGCGGAAATATATGAATGCCGTCGTATCGATACAATTAATGTGCGTATTCGTGTATCGATTCGTGTATAACTTTCCTGTCTGTTTGCTGGTGAAACGTCGGGAATGATGAAATTGAGTAGTGATCTCTCGTAACTCCAAGCATCCGCACAAAAATTCTAGTGATGATACCGATCGTAAGATCATTCGCATAATGTGTGAATGAATCGAGAGATTTATGCCAAGGATAGTCAATGATGGTAATAACGATATTTTTGTATTAATCATTTGCAATAGAAGCGCGCAGAGAAGTGAATAAAAAAATCGACGGCTCTGCTCGAGTATTTGCGAAGAAATATGTCCAACCTGAAGGATTTCTCCTGCATCGGAGGGCTGGAGAAGCACATTAGAATCGTGAAGGAGATGGTTCTGTTTCCGCTGATGTACGGCGACGTGTATGCTAAGTTTAATCTTAGACCGCCGCGTGGTTTGTTGTTCTACGGTCCTCCAGGTAATGTCAAATGTTTATTTTTTTTTTTAAGCGAGGATCTCTCGCTTTAATTTTTTATCAGGAACAGGCAAGACTCTCGTGGCCAGTGCTCTAGCGACAGAATGCAGCAATTCTGAGCGCAAGGTCTCCTTCATCTCGCGCAAGGGTTCCGATTGTCTCAGCAAATGGGTCGGAGAGAGCGAAAAGAAGCTCGAGAAAATTTTCTTGTTGGTTGGTGAAGTTTAATTTTAATAATTCTTATTGTGCACGCAATATTGTACATTCAAAAATAAATATCCAGAATAAGGATCAGTCTGTGATTATTTTTCCTTCTTCCTTATTTGCACAAATAACTGTTTTGCGCAAATTATACGTCGCATAAAATTCTCTGTGCAAGCCCAGCAATAAATGTGATGTATTTAAACCGATGATTGTTTCACTTACCAGGCACAACAGACGAAGCCGTGCATTATCTTCTTCGACGAAGTGGACGGTTTAGCTCCCGTGAGGTCCAGTCGGCAGGATTTCGTTCATGCTAGCGTGGTCTCCACTCTCCTGGCTTTGATGGACGGTTTGGACAATAATTCCGAGATCATAGTGATAGGCGCGACCAACAGGATCGATGCGATAGATCCCGCTCTGAGGAGACCCGGCAGATTCGACAAGGAATTGTATTTCCCCCTGCCTTGTTACAGCGCCAGAAAAGAGATACTTTCGGTATCGTCTTAATAGAACTATAAATAAAAAAAATAAAGAAATATGAAACAAAAATGTTTATGTATGATGATAGGTGCACATCAAAAGTTGGAAACAGAAACCTGCGCAAAAATTTTTGGCGTATTTGGCATCGAAAACATTAGGATTTTGCGGCAGCGATCTACAGGCTCTTTGCGCCGAAGCAGTTATGTGCTCCATTCGCAGGAACTATCCACAAATCTATACTTGCAAATCGAAGTATCACATCAACGAACGCCAATTGAAAGTAAGATACGATTAATTTTGCATAACAAATTAAGCAAATATAAAAGAAATGATTTTGACAGAAATCAATTTTTATATATAAAGAATTTTTTATATACATCTTATATTATTCTTATATGTGAATACTGAACATTTTAAACGCCTTAATAATTTTTCATCAAGGTGGAAAAGGAAGATTTCCTGAAAGCGCGTCAAAATATCGTTCCAGCGTCGCATCGCATCATCATCGCTCCAATCAAGAATTTGTCCGTCAAGGTTCAACCGTTGTTGCAAGAGGATTTGGCGAACATCCTGACGCGATTACAAATGCTTTGTCCAACTGGCATGTTGACATCCGACAACATGTAAGTCGCGATCTGATTATATATAAAGCAAAAATTAAAATAATAATTTGAATTGCAGTACAGGCAAAGCGACGTCCAAGTCGAGCGTTTGTCCGCGAATTTTGCTGTGCGGCGATGACGATTCTCATACTCGTCATTTGGGACCGGCGTTGCTGCACACTTTGGAACATCTGCCGTGTCACATCTTGGACGTCACGACGCTGTTCGAGGAAACAGACAAGGCGGCCGAGGAAGCCATGATACAGGTAGAGAACTAATTGTTTTCACGCGTTTGTCTTCAGAGAAGTGTGTCAAATAGTCATTTTGTTGTGATAACAGAAGATCAAGACCGCACGTCGCACTTTACCGGCACTGCTGTACGTTCCTGGTATTTTAACTTGGTGGGATCTGTTGAACGAGACGGCGAGAGTAGTTTTCACCTCATTAATGCGTGGTCTCGACCGATCGGTCCACATGCTCGTCTTAATGACTGCCCATTGTCGACATTCTAATCTGCCACTGGAGGTAACGTCCTTTCAATAATTTCGATAGGCGCTTATTTTAACATTGCTTTTTTTTGTATTTTGTATGCATTTAGTGCGTTTAAGTTTAACTAATTGCCTTAATTGTCTTAATTTGCTATATTTTTTATAAAGTTTATCTAAAAATAAAAAATTGATAAATTAGCGAAATTTGAAAATGTTAACAGCAATATTTCTAGAATTATATTTTAGAAATAAAAATAGCATTATTAACTTTTCCAATGTCTCAGGAATCATTAATATATTGCCACAATATATCTATTCATATAAGATAAGTAATTAGCTGTAATAAACTTGGCTGCCATCACAGATTGCAGAACTGTACGACGATAATCACGGCGAAGTGTACGAAGTGAGATTACCGTCGGCGGAAAAACGGCGTTCCTTCTTCAAGCAATTGTTCATCAACGGAGGTTCCAGCAATCTTTCTGACTGCTCTTCACAAGGTGATTATTCGTCTAAAACAATCGTTTACCGTATAATCATTGAATTAAATCGGTTTCTAACAAATGCAGCCGATCTGGTGCAAATCCTGAGTCCGAAGAAGCTCAAGGGCGAAAATAACAGAAAGCTAAGGAGCTATGTGCATTCTACTAACTCTAACGGGTTACTAGGTAAGTTTCAAAGCGCAAGTTTCACGTATAAAATTTACAAATTATTCATGTATATATATAGAGATTAGTGCAGCACGGTCGAAAAAAATTAAAATGGAATCGAAAGCGCGAAATAAATTGGGTTCTGTACGATCTTCGCACTCGACATCTTCTAAATCAAGTAAATATCAATTATAATCTTATAGATCCAGCTTACATGTATAGCAACCCCTTAAAAATTTATTATGAATATATTAACTACATTAATAAATTGATAAATTTTTAAGCGAATAGATAAATAATTATACTTAACTATATTAATATTATAAATTTGCATCGGTGATTGATACAGGAACAAACATCAAAAGAGAATACAGCGCATCCGGCGAGGGTCCGCCTTCCAAACGACAGAAACTAACATCCGGCGTATCGTCCAGCACCGAGAAATTTTTCAGTTCTCAAATCGAGGACTTGATCGAAATGATAGTTCGATCGACGAACGAATGGCCGAGTCATTTACTGGAGAGCTTGTTCTCCTCTCTCGAACTCACAATGGAGCACAACGGAGATTTGTGTGCAACGGTAAACGAGTATGTTGTACGTTACGAGGAACTGAAACGAGTCAAAATGCGTGCACAACAGGAGGAAGATTAATTATTAATTTGGTGGAACGTGCTCTCACTTCTTGTCAATCGTCGTTGTGATGTCTAAATATGCAAAATGCTGTAACGGAACGCAATAATTAATAACAAATTTGTGAAATGTAATATTGTTGTGATATAATGTGATATAATAAATAATGTAGTGGATTGTTTGTTTGAAAAGATATTCCTTTTTCTAATTGTTAACGCGCGTAATATTTAATTATTTAACTAAATATTTATTTTGTTTAAATTATATATATATAATTTAACTAAGAATACTAATAATTATCAATTTTATTCTCGTGTTTTCAGATGCAAATGTCTTCGAGAATCTTTTATATTAATAGCAATTATCGAAACCCTCCTCCTATTTTTCATTATCGATATGTTCAATATGAATTGATCTCTGCTTTGTGCCACATAATTGATGCGCCTTTGTTGCACCGACTTAATGCTGCACGAATGACTTCTCGTCTCTATTCTCTTTGTAGTTCGTAGAAACGAATCAGTTTCTCCTACTCGAGAGAGCATCTCTGCATGTGGTGGAGGGGTTCGGCGACGGTGCTCCATAGGCTTATCAGTTAGCGTGCAGCTACGATGAAATGCTGTTTGCCGTGTTGCATCTATATTCCGGGTACAGTTACGTTCTGTAAAATCACGTGGCCGGATGTGAAGTGTAACGTTACATCAAAGAACGCGTTTATCTGCTGACCATTGCTGATAAACGGACGGCGATAAATCGTTGGCAGTCCTCTAAACCACTTCCAGCGGAGATATCAACAGGAAACCACACGTGGAACAGGGTAACTTGTGAACGTTTTTTCTTCGTATTATTATGCGTGAAATTATTGCTGCAATAGATAACTGATTTTTAACACAAATTAAATTTTCATAATTCTCATTTATGATAGTTACTTTTATAAAATTTGCGGTTTGATTCTATCGTAAGCGTTTAAGCAGATGAACGATATAAAAATAACAGAGTTTCAGATTTTTAACAAATATTTATTACAAACATGTAGAAGAGGTATGTTGGAAAGATCTTAAAATATCAAATTGAGCTTTCTTAACATCGCAGCTTACTCTTAAAAAGGTAGACGAGACGCCGCCGATACTTCTATGTGCTACGGAAAACCACATTTTGGCAGAAATATTACCGTTAGAAAAATTGACCAACACACATAGTGACGCACAATGTGACAAAGATAAAAACAAATAAAGAGTCGCAAATTGTACATAAACTAATTTCCGGAAGTCTTTCCTTTGAAACAAAATGCTTTAATCTCTAAGCTCTAAGCTCCTTACAAAGGAATAAGATATAAAAACTTTTGTAAAATATATAAAATTAAAAAAATAATATTGACTAACTGCTAACTTATATTAAATAGAAATATATAATTAAGTAATTAAACAACTGTCAATTTTTAGCGCAAACGATTAATGTGATTGTTACAAAACTATTATTCAATCACATAAATCAAAAATTTAAAAAAATGAGAAACAAGTATTACATCATGATTAGCACTGATAATAAGTTTACATAATATTTAACACTGGTAAGTACGTCATTCTTTCTAAATATTTCCAATTAATATCATGATAACATTTAGCAAATTTTTATCAATCTTTGTATTAAAATGATCAATAGATGATCAAGATTAAGAATCGTGATTATTCAGATTCATAATCTCCCGATCACCAAAATATATCGCAGTATTTTTCTCATAATCAGATAGAGATTTTAACTGCATATATATGTGTATATATATATATATATATATATATATATATATATATATATATATAGTA